AAAAGATACGCTGAACTTACCTTTATGCTGTAATGTACTCAATTTATTTTTAAAAAAATAAGCTTAGAAGGCAGGCCATAGCAAAAAGCCTTAATTCTTTCGATTTCTAATAAATTGATGGCGTAGTTGCCTCTTGGTACATACCTTCCTGTGTTTTGTCATAATGGAATTCAAACAGTTTCTCTGTAGTATTTTAGTTCTGTATTGTCATTCTATGTTCTAATTGAATTAATGTATTTCTAAACAAAAGTAGTTAAGTACATAAATGTGTCCTAGGGACACCTTGAGAAGCAAATGAAAGCAAAAAAACTGAACTCTTGATTATGAGTGATGTATGCAGCATCTTTACTCTATAAACTTTTCAGAGTAAATGTGGACTGTCAGAAGCAGACAGTGGAGCCTGAAGTCTTATTTGATACTTCAGAACAGTTAAAGATGATTCCAAATAGTCTTCTGTCCATCAGGATAACAGAGGTAGGAATGTTCTACATCTGAAGTAGGTCGTATCTAATACTCGGTACCTAGATAACTTTGGAGGGATGAGTGTCTGACAAGCTTAAATGAAATGAATGGATACTAATAACGCCCACGCCCCGCTTTCCAGTCCTCCGTTCCTGAAAACTACCCAAGCACAGTGTCCTTGTACGTTATCAATATTTCTTCTCATAACAATCCTCACTGAAACAAAACACAGTGCTTTCTAGCTACTAAGAAGAAAATTAACAGCGAAAACCAGGACATGTAGTCATATGTAGTCATAACCACCCCCCGCCCCAAGTCACAGAAGGCAGAGGCAGGGACTGGGAGAATGAAGAACTGCCCACTGGAACAGGTTGCCCAGAGAAGCTGTGGCTGCTCCTCCCTGGGAGTGTTAAAGGCCAGGCTGGGTGGGGGTGGTCAGACACTGGCACAGGTTGCCCAGAGAAGCTGTGGATGCCCCCTCCCTGGAAGTGTTAAAGGCCAGGCTGGATGAGGCTTTGAGCAACCTGGTCTAGTGGAAGTGTCCCTGCTGATGGCAGGGGGGTTGGAACTAGATGATCTTTTAAGGTCCCTTCCAACCCAAACAGTTCTATGATTCTATGTTAATTTGGTTTAGAAAAATGGAAGCAATCTTTTCTTATTTTTCTGTATTTTAGTAGTGCTTATATCAGGGTCTATTTAGATGAAAAATGTATTGCAGTTGCACAGCACATAAACATTTTAAAATAACATCTAATTGTGAGATAAATGCTTCACTGCATTATTATTGCAGAATGAGAACAAGTGTGTGTCAGGAGTAAGAGTACTTTCATGTATTTTGCTCAGATGTGTTTTGTATTTGATGTAGAAGAATAAAATAATCTGAAATCTGATACTTCCCTTTTTTTTTTTTTTGTTTCAGGTAGTAGAAGTTGGACATTTCTGGGGTTACAGGATAGATGAAAAAAATAACACTGTACTCCAGACTCTAACTGATGAATCTAACTACCAGAACTTGGTGGATTTGACAGTGTCTCCACATCCAGAGTTGGTTTGTCTGGCACCATTTGCTCCTCTGGAAAACACAGGATACTGTAGAGCTCGTATTCTGAATGTTTGTGGAGATTTTGCTGAGGTACACTAATATGTTATGTCATATTGAATTGGTAGGATATAATTGGGTTAACAATCTTGGAGCTATGCTTTCCCGCCCCCTCCCCCCCTGCCCTACAAAGCACTGTGTTCATGATAATTATAAATACTCCAGTAAAGAAATCTGTAGAACTGGAACTAAAATGAAACCTTAATAGAATGTTGCCAGGACAGATGAATTAGTATTTTTCCAGAACACAGGGATATTTTAGCATTAAATTGAGAGACTGTTGTTGATACAGTAAAATGTGCAAAGCAAAACAAAGACTAAAACCTCCAGTAACTCTGAAAACATGGTAAGGCATGCCTAGATTGGAGTCCAGTGCTGCATTACTGGCTGCAATCCCATCACTTCCTCTTCATAAATATATTGAGATCCATTTGAAAAGTAAGATTCTTGCCCCCACTGTACGGGCAGTTTTGAGTCATTCATGGTCCAGTTCATTGAAGTTTGTTCTTCTGCCAGTGTTTCTTCCCCTGGTTTACATGGGTTTTCTTCTTTTCCTTCTCTTCCCTCTTCCCTCCAGTTTCTTGTCTAGCTTTATCTTCTGGGACTTTAGTTTGCTAATTGAAGCATTCTGCACTCTTTATCATCTCACATAGTACTTTGACTCTCTGTTCACCTGGCCTCTGTCTCACTCCTCTATTTTATTTTGACCTCAGTTTTCTGAAGCAGGATATTATGCATGCTCCAATACTTACAGTTCAGCCTTTGCTTGTGCAATGATGGTAGTGTTCCTCTTCCAGCACAGTGTTTCTCCTCTGCATTCAAAGTTATGCACATGCCACATTTGCTTTTCATAGCTTTTTTGCATGGACTGCCTGTGTTCATCTTATACTCAGTTTTGTCTCCTTGGTAATTTCCAACTAATCAGAATTTATAAATAATAATGGAGCGTTTATAGCAGAAATTGGTAAAAATTCCAAAGGATATGATCTTTTACTTTATACCATTTGGTTTTCCCTGTTCCTGTTGAATTCTTAGGTCCATTCAGTGGAAAATTAGTGCCACAGTTCAAAATCAGTATTCATTTTTCAGGCCAATGTTTTTCTGTTCAGCAGTTAAGGACAGATTGTTTTATTTTTTGTAAGATTGGCCTTTGCACAGCCCATTCCTCCTTTGAATTTCTTGGGTTTTTCAACATAGCTGAGCATCTATTAACTATAGAGTTAATATTGAACATTATCATCTGTTTAAAGTCATGGAAAACTAGTGAATAACAGTGCCAATCGCATCACTTTCTCTTTTACATTTATAAACAGTCACCAGATCCATGTTAGCATTTGCTTATCTAAAAGCAGTTATTACATACTATCACTGTTAAGAAGCAAGGTTATACAGATTTAATTCTGAGGAGAGAATTAAGAGTCTTTGGTGAAATTTGCCTTTCCTGTATTTAGCAGATTATTTGTATTACCAGTGGATGTTTAAGCCAAGTGATCAAGTAATAGACATGATAAAATTTGACCTATTATTTTTGATAATGACTTAGTTTGAATGTTTTCCAGACTCTGAATTTGCTTCCAGTTCACTTGATAAAATTGTGTTGTACTGTAATTATTAAACTTAAGTTTTCACTTTTCTTGCCCCTCAAGTAGCACTTTTAGTGCTCAAAGCAGCAGTTGTGGAATCGCTGCAGATGTTCTTGATTCTTTTTCCAGGTTTTTTTTGTGGATTATGGCAACAGATCAAAAGTGCCTTTAAAGAAATTGAAAGATATTCCAAGCTGTCTTCGAGACCTTCCTTTCCAGGTAGGGGTGAAGCTATTTGCTGCTGCTTAATAAATATTTTCATGGCTGGTCTGGCAAACAGTAGCATGTTTCAAATCATAATGCTTTTCAGAATAATAATGAAGTAACGTGTATTTTGCTAATGGGAGTACCTACAAATCACCTTCACTAATAGGTGGATAATTTTTTTCCGCAGATGTACATGCACAGAGCAGTAATTCTTGTGTGTAACTGAATTTCATTGTATTTTATTGTACAGAAATGTTACCTAGCCTTTTGGTTTCAGGGGCACTTGCTAGAGCCAAAAAAAACCCCAAACCCTGAACTTAGTGCTTGACTGGATGTAAAAAACTTTGGTTGTATTTGGAGGGTTTTTTAACTGAATGTTTGACTTAGTCCTTTTTCTGTGGGGACAACATCTTGGGATCTGTCTCTTAACTAATCACAGGAACTGCAGAAGGAGAGAGGAAATTGTTCTAACAGCTGGCTTTGCTGCTTGTTGCTTTTGGTTATCAGTATCATTTCTCCCTATCAGTTCTGTGAGAAGTAAAACCTTTCTAGAAGGAGAATGTTCTGAATTCTCTATTGCCTGCTTATATGCAAAGCCGAGGAGTAACAGGCTGAGCAGAAGATCATCTTTGCTTTAGTCTAAAGAACTTCTGAGCAAATGACAGAGCTTTATACAGCCTAGAAAAGAGCCCGGAGAGGAAAAAATTTCAATGACTAGTTTGGTCTGTTGTTCTCTGCTTAAACCTATCTGCTCCCACTACGGGAAGGTGCCAGCATAGGACCTCTTGACTGCATGGCACAAGATTGCAGTGGCAGGTATCTTGTGTGCAGTTACTGTGCAGAGTAATTTTGCTCCATCAAAGCTCCTGCTCTGCTACACTATTAGTTACAGGACAAATAAATAGGAGATACCACATTTAAATTTTGCAAAGCTTGAAGTCTCTGGTTTTGCTGCTTTGCTCTTTTTTGAACTCCTGGCTGTACTTGGATCTCTTCAGACAGAACTCTCTTGATAATTAAATAGTGATCAGTAACACAAATCTGAGGGACCAGTTTAGCTAGTTTTTTTGAAAAATAATTGTCTTGAACTACATTTACAAATAAAATTAGACTACAAGTGAAATTGAACTTTTCAGTCATTCAGATATTTTTAAGCTAATCAAAACAGATGTATCATACTAACTTTATTCTCTGGAGCAATTAATAATGAAAATGAGAAATGAACCAGCAGAAGTATGGTTTTATTTTACTTATCTGTTCTTAGTATTAGATCTTGACACAGTTAATTTTGTTTGGCTTTATTTTAGAATTGATTTTAAAAATAAGTATAAGTAATTTTGGCAAGAAGCATCCTTTTTTGTGTTTTCTTCAGCTATATTAAAGGGAAATGTATTTCTGCTTCAGGTCTAATCTTTTCTTGACCAGTTTTAATGATCGGCTTGAAAAAAAACAGGATTTCTGCTGCAAATCATTCAAAGACACAATTACAGATAGTGAGAATTGTCTTTTATTTATGCTCTGTTTGCTCTGATTCATTAGCAGCTATGTACAATACTGAAGTGAGATGAGATGTAATGTGTAGCTGCGTTGGCAATGATGGAATAGGAATTATGCCAGTAGCTTTCTAGTAGTCCTAGGAATTAATATAAGCCACTGCAATAATTATGAGGTCATCTATAGTTATTTCAAACAGTTTGTTGAGAAGATGAAAGATTTTTGTACTGATTCTCAGGCAAGCGTTGTTTTCAATGTTTTTGCTGTAGGCTTTGGAATTCAAGATATGCAAGATGCGTCCATCTGCAAAATCTCTTGTATGTGGGGAATGGTGGAGTTACAGTGCTAACCAGAGATTTGCCTCATTAGTAGGTGGCCATGCTCTTCTAGTGAAGGTGTATTCACTTGTGCATAATGTTCTGCATGTGGATGTTTTCCGTTACTCGAGATGCAATGAGCTTGTGAATATTCGAGATGTGCTTATTGAAGAATGTTATGCTGAACCAGCAGAAGAATCATACGAATCACGAGTATGTATTGAGTGAGCTGCTTCTACTTTTGTTATACTAATTTATTTCAGTGCAGGCTGTCTGAAGTCCTGAGAAGTTGAGCTGAAGTCTTGACAAATGCCATGGGATTAGGCAAGATTAATATTTGAATGGGACGACATATTTTTGTGTGTGTACATAATTCATATCGAGCTGTTGGCCAAAAGCACTGCTGCTTTGCGACACCTCTTGAAAGAGATGTTTCCCAGGAGGTGATGGCATCAATTGAACTGCTCTGCTAGTTTTTTTGAAACTTTTGTAAAAATGTAACTGTTTCATAGTTTGAACTGTCTTTCTTTTTTATGTTTTATATAATGTGAAAGGTGATAAGATCGTTGGTTTTTGTATTCATATGTGAGTATGCATGTTCTTTGTGTAGGATCTTTTTTTGTAAATTTTTTGAAAAGCATAGATGTTTCATGGTTTTAACACTTTTCCATTATTATGTAGCAAAGCCATGATTTGCTCGAGGAATTGGTTTTGGACCAAGTAAAAATAGAAGAAAAAATGCCTGTATCCTCAAGAGAGAAAGAAAAGCATCTCATTGAAAAATTGTTAGATTTGTTTTCTGACAACAAATCTGGTGCACCAACCCACAAGGTAACTTCAGTGGTGGTTTTGGTATGTCTTTACATGATGCTACTTCTCACATTGTTAGAATGGAGATGAAGACTGACAGTACCTTTAATAACCAAACTATACTTGATACCTTTCATAGTGCATTCTACTTTGTGTTGGTAGAAAGCTGTAATGTGACCACCATTGCAGACTAGTCTGTTGCAACTTTTAACAAAGTTTTGAAGTATAGCGTAAGACCTAAGCTCTAACACATTCTAAGGCAACACTTGGAACCACTGCAGAACAAAGATAAAAACTGAACACAAGTTTCCACACCTGGTAGTCTTTATTATATAAGCTACAGCAAAAAGCAAGATTACAATCCTATCAATTTTTCAGAAAATAGGTAAAATTATATTGAAAAATTGAAAAACGTGGTTTTTACTATACACAGTGTTTCTTTCTTCCTCAGCTAGCAATATGTAAGCATCTGGGATAGGTGATGGAGAGAACACTCCAGTAACTGATAATAATGACAGAGTGGGTATTTCTTCCACTGCCAATTCCAAACTCAGAATTTATTCTTACTTACATATTGTGAGATATCTAGTCACTACTAAGCTGGAATATAAAACATGAAAACATGTGTCCTGTTCTGCATTCTGATTACCAGTTAAGCCTCGTCTACATTATAATTTGCTTTTCATTTCAGACCTGACAAAATTTCAAGCACTTAATTGTGCTCACTTTACCCACAGAAGTAATCCTGTTTAACTACTCACTTTCATAACGTGAGATATTTTCAAGATTCAAGACCTGCTCATGTAAACAAAAATTGCCTGATTCTGTTACATGTTCTGTGAAGTCTGAACTTGTGGGTTTTTTAAGCCAGAGGAGAGTTGTGAATCACCAGCACCTGTGAAAATACATTATTTTTGTTTAGATGCCTCAGAAAGTGAAGTTTGCTTTAGATGGGTGAAATGAAAATGCTGTTTATCAGTTTATCAGTTCAGTGTTGCTCAGTACATGCCGAAATGTATTTTGGTTTTCATGCATAAAAGATTTTTATTTGGAGAGATCCAGGTGCTGGCTAACTAAGAATATAATTTGTTCTCTCTCTTTGAAGGTAACAGTTTTTGGCCCATTCAGTCCTTATGAGGTGAAATGCTACAGTATGACTAGAGTATCACAGTTCAGGTATGAGAAGACTTACTGTGACGTATTGGTATGTTCTCAGCTGTCGTTTTCGATAAATAGGCAAAAAGGATCCTGGTTAACTCTTCCAGATTTTTACAGAAATTTTATTCATTGAAAAAACTGCAGTAGTCAGGCCTGACCTGCATTAATATGCACACTACTGCTATGTAAAATTTTAAGAATAGTTTTTTTTAAGGTGCTTTAATGTCTTACAGAGTATTTCTTAATCACCGTATACATCTGCTAAATGGTATTTAGGTAGTCTTCAGCCTGTAACTGCTATCCACTGAGGCTGCATTGTGAATTTAAAATAATTCTTTTTTTTTTAAAATGTTTGTATGGGTTGTTTTTTTTTTTTTTTTTTTTAATGTGCCTAATATTTCTTATTTCCTTCCCAGAAATGCTTTCATACAGAAGGAAAGCATAAACTCTGTTGTTGTCCATGATGCTCCAGAACATCCCTTTCAGCAATTGTTGGTTGCTGCTGCTTTATCAACAAATCCAATTGGTAATGCTTAATAAAAATGTTTGGACAGTTTCTCTAGACTTTTGTTCTTGTATGGATACTTCTATGAGTAAATATGTCACTGTAATTCTATGTTGCATCTTTTTCAGGTTTCCTTTTCATTAGGTACTCCTTAAATTTTTGTTTTGTTTTGTTTTTTGTTTCTTTTGGTGACAGGATCTACTGTGATTCTAGAGGAAACAACTTTGATGCCTCCTATTCCTGGCCTGCTTGCTCTCCTCAGTATGCTGTTTGCTCCTGCTATAGAACTCAGGTATTCATGCACCTTAAAAAGTGGTGGGGTTTTTGGTTTGTTCTTGGTTTGGTTTGGTTTGGTTTTTTAGGACCCTCACAAATTTGTGACAGGCTTCCCCTTTTGTTGTTTTTTTTTTTCTCTCTGCTTTCAGTATTTAGTATATTCTGTTCCTGTTAATGTAATTTTTGTATCTTTTATCAGTTCTAGTGTAGTATGTAGTCAAGATAACTTGTTTCTCGTACTTATGAATTGGTGCTGCAGGCTCTACCCTCACAATAAGGCAATACAGTTCCTGACAGTCATGCTGGAAGCCTTAGGAAGATGAGCTGTAGAACTGACCAAGTTTTAAATCTATGTGAGGAGAGGAACTTGTGTGATTACTGTTATGTTTCATTTAAACTCTTGTTACCTGTAGGCTGTCATTTCAATGTAGTGAAGCTAGCTTTCCTTAATTGAAGCTTCATTTTACATACGGTTTTTTGGGGGTTGGGTTGTTTTTTTTTTTTTAGTATATGTATTCTTAACCAGAACTTTAGTTTTGTTTCATCACTATATTTAAAAAAAACAGTATGAATAGGTGTGAATGCCTCTCAATTGTTTTAGCTTCTTTAAAGCACACCTGTATCTTGCTTGCTGTGGCTTAGACAGTTTAAGTCTGTTTTCATATGAGTTTAGTTTCTTCATCTCTATGTGAGACTCTTCTTTCTCTTTCATGTAGGGTTGATGACAGTGGGAAGTATTTTACTGGTGTTCTCTGTGGTTTGGGTTGGAGTCCGACCTGTGGGGCTCCACTGCTTCCAGAGAATGACATGGAGCTGACATTTGATGTGCGTTTTGGAGTGGAAGACATATTAGAGGTAAAACATGCATAAGAATTTTTGCTATAGTGGGAATTAAGTAGAATTCAGTGCATCAGAGCTTGTTAACTCTTAGAGTTAATAAGAAAACTTTTAAGCTATGGGTGTTCTCTTTTTTTAGTGTACTACCTCTTTATAACCTTGAAGTCTTACCAGAAAAAAACAGTTACCCCCTCCATACACTGTGAACAAAAGAAAATATTATAAAACAATACATTTTTTCAAAACAAAAGTATTGATTTTGCACTAATCAGATGTCAGTAATTGTTAGTTATGTTCTTAGGATTATTGTGGATTTTACTGATCAGCCAGCATTACTACTTTGCAATCTTTAACATGTGCTTTAGACAGTGAAGGATTTTATTAGTTCTGATTAGTTCTGATTACCCTGATGAGTTCTGTGCACAGAGCAGGTACATGAGGTGATGACTAGTGTTTTCTAAAGGCTTTTTAAGGACACAGTGGACATGCTGGTGCACGTATCTGTGAGATACTGTTTTCTGAAAGCACTGATTTAGTCCGTGTGATGTCTGTATTCATGGCACCTTAGCCAGAATGATAACACCAAGTTGTTGTGCATGTGAAAATTATGAACAGATGGAGAAAATCCTTAAAACTTTTTTAGAGAAGGAATTCTGTGTTGGAAAAAATCCAGGCAAGTGGTAGCCTGTATGTTTCATGGCATATCTGAGTAAACTTGAAGATTGTGATATAAGTGATATAACATCTTTGACCAGCAGATACGCATCTGAAGGAAGAAGTGTTTCTAAAGCTTCAGATATTTTTGCTTATGTTAATAATGTTCCAGTAGAAGTTTGGTGGTGGGGTTCCTACAACCACCTTCACGTCAGTGGAATATAATACAGAACTAGTGCTGGTTTAGAGTGCTTTATATTCTGTCACTGGTGTTTTTACAGATAAACATCCTAAGGACAGCAATTAATAAGGTGCTCTGTGAATGTGCAGTGTGTTCTGGACAAGAGAGAATGACACAGCTGCAGGAAGATGTTCGTCAGAAACTTTTACGGTAATAATTTTATAGAAATAAGATCTTATGCTTCACAGTCTCAGCAAAAACAAAAGAAATCATTGCTTGAATCGTAGCTCAGATTAAGCTTTGGGGAATTAATGTATGTTCTCATTTAATGATGCATTTCATTTACTTTCTTTATAAAGCAGTATACTGAACAACTTCAGGCTTCTTGTGGAAGCACGGGTTCTTCAGGGAAGCCTGATCACTTAGAGTCATAAAACCTAGACTGTAAAACCCATTCTGCAGGATACCAGTTCTGATGTATCTTTGCTTTGTGCCCCCAGGAAAAAGCAAATACAGTCTTTTGGCAGTGCTGCCTTTCCTCCCTCCACAGACCTGTGTAGGGTCCGTGTTGGCCAGGTTAATTGCTGGAAGTCCCAGGTTAATTTATGAAGTAAGGCCACCCGCTTCTTGTAGCTGAAGCAGCGGTTCTGAAAAGACTATTGTGAGTCAGTGCAGACAGTCTTTAGAATTATTTCAGCTTGTGTGTGGGAAGTGTTTGAGGGGGCCAGTGCAATGAAGTATCCCTGTAACAGCTCCTTCTAATGCCTGCTACCGCTGGGCATGCTGTGACAAATCTCCCCTTGTTTGTGACTGTAGTGCTGTCTGTATCATCAGTGCACTTGTCTCATCCTTACCTGGCTCTGTACAGAAGCGATTACACAAAGAGCTCTGGTTTAGCCATGAAATTAGATTTAGTTTATGTTCTCTAGTATTGGCCTCATCTCTAGGAAATGTCACTTTTTTCAGAAACAGAGCTTTTCTAAAGTAACTGTGCCAAAGTGAGGCAGTTCCTCATGCTGATAAGGATCAAAAGCTTTTAAGCTTAGCTGCCCTCACCAAAGGTTATAAAAATTTTTATCAGAGTAGCTGTTTATGTGGAGTTTTCAGGTGTTCCTTGTTTTTGAATGTAACCGCTCAGTTGATTGTGGTTCTTTTCCCCCAGCTGTGAAAAAACTATTACAATGCCTTCAGTTGAAAGCAAGTGCATGCACTTCTTATTTCCAAAACTTGACAGAATATTGGGTGTGGTGCATTTTATAATAAACTAATAAGTGTGAGGGGAGTCAGCCTTACCTTTTGAGGCACTGGAAATGAAATTGAGAGCATAAAAAATTGCCAGAACATGTGGAGATACCTATTATATCTTAGCTGAGCAGCAGACATGCTGGATATGACAAGGGAGTAAGGTGATTATTTTGGGTGCTACACTGTAGGGGTTCCTGTTTGTGTCCAAGTACCTCAGGCCAGTTGGTGTCTGCATTGCCTTTGGACACTGCTGCGTAGTACCATGTTTGGACTTCACAGCTACATGAAGGTGGCTTGTGCGATTCATGTGGTAAGAAGTGTAGGGAGGAGTCAAGAAAAGCGGATAGGTGGAAAGAAGCAAAACCACAAAACCTCTCCAGAAGTGACCATGGCAGTAACAGGAGCTCATCAACACAGTAACAGGACATCAACACTTAAATGCTGAATTGAAGGGACAAAAATGTCACTGCTATTTCTTTAGATGTGAATAGTTGCTACTGTTTCAGCACCTTTTTTGGGTTGATTGTTGAGACATCCCCAGCCAGCTGGGAGGTGAAGGGGCTCGCACAGCTTCTTGGAGCAGATCCTCAGCGTTCCCCAGCTCAGTCAGTGCTACATTGTCTGACTCGGTCATTCTCATCAGCATTCTGGGCTTTTTTTTTATTTAGGATTTTATATCTTTCTGTGGTAACATTTTCTCTCTTGTAATCTTTGTGATTTTTCTGATTCTGTTCCAATAATCTGAATTTTTCTGCCTTTCTTACCTCTTTCTTTCTTTCTTACCTCTTTCTTTCTTCCCTACCTCTTTCTTTCTTTCTTTCCTCTTTCTTTCTTTCTTACCTCTTTCTTTCTTCCCTACCTCTTTCTTTCTTTCTTTCCTCTTTCTTTCTTTCTTACCTCTTTCTTTCTTCCCTACCTCTTTCTTTCTTTCTTTCCTCTTTCTTTCTTTCTTACCTCTTTCTTTCTTACCTACCTCTTGCAGCTCACTCTTGGCAGTCTGAGCCATCCTATGTCAGAGGGGCCTTGGGATGTTGGTAGCTCAGATGAGGGTGGGGGAGCTCGCAGCAGGCGTTACAGGGAGAGACAGGGTTACAACTTCAAGAAAACAAATTCTGTTTTTATTTTCTGTAATTATTCTGTATTTTTATTCTGGATTCTTTTTCTGAAGTCTCTGAAGGTAGCTTTTCTGTTGTTGTTTCCAGCCTTTTTGAAGGAAGAGACAATCTGGTTATTATCGTGATGTCTTTGTGTAAAATCTCTCTTAATTTTGAATATTTATTTTTTCTGATTGTACTTCGGTTTATGTCTTGGAAAAAACCTACCCTTTGAATACGTAAAAATTTAGCATGAACAGTCTTTTATAACTTTTTTCCATTTTTTGAAAGCTAATTGTATTTACAACATGTCACCACAACTTAAGACTAAAATGAGTGTTTGAAAAACACATCTAGACAGAATTAATTAAAGTCTACTACTGTTGTTCTTTGCACAGCTTGAGGAAATAACTGGAGCAGACAGACAATCTATAGTAATGGAGTTGCCATGCAAAACAAAATACCCTAAAAATAGCTGTATTATACATTCTAGTGAATAAGCATGCATAAAAATTATGGAATAAGTGACAGTTGCAACTTCTAGTGCCTTGTAAATTTTTTTTAAAAAATCATTATTTCCTTCAAAAGGAAATATATTCTGATACACTTAATGTCCCTGTGAAAATCTGTATTTTCACTTAAATTACAAGGGCAAACTGCAGAAAAGTGATTCTGTGAAATCGGACTAAATTAACAAGGAAATTCAAGATTCCCTTCAGCACAGACACCTCATAAGTGCTTAGTTGTATCCATTATAAAAAATATTTTATATTTATAATTAACCAAATAAGGCTATTTTTATGTAATTTCAGCTTAATCTGCAAATCAAAACCTCGAGATATAATTGTTCCTACATGGTATAAGAATCCATATGCCTGGAATCAGGTAGGGGTATAAAGATTTTTTTTACTTACTTTTTTTTTTTGTTGTTGTTCCTTAAGAAGAGTAGTTAGAGTACCCCAGTACACAAGTTAAGAGTGGTCAAAGGGAGTTTCCTTTGGAAGGATGTGGTTTTTGAGCCTGGGGAAGGAGGGCAGTATTGAATTTAAAGGTACTGAAAGCACTGAAGAGTCAAATTTAAGGTGTAAAAACTGTTGCGTATACATCAGCCTCTATCAATACCCTGTGTTTGTAGGGTCTGTTTAGTTTGGGTGTTTTGTTTTGGTTTTTAATTCTGTATATACAAATACTTAGCCTTTTCAAACAGAACACTTCATGATTTTTAAGTTGAGAGAGACTGTAAAGGCAACTTTACATTTGTTGGAAGTTAAAATTTTGTATTCTTCTATCTATTAAGCAGCCATGGCCTAAAAGAAAAAGATTGATACATTTTTCTTGTTCAGGATTTATCTGAATGCAGCGCATTTTACTTTTGCTTTGGGTTGCTGGGATCAGATAGAGGGCAGTTTTATTTTCATAAAGCTGAAAAGTCTAGCTTCTTACTGTTGGAAATCTTACCTTTCTTTCTGTAAGGGCCTCTGCAGGCCACTAGATTTCCTGATGAACAAGTGTGTTTTCTTAATTAAAGGGCAGTTAGAAATTACTGAGTGCAGCAGTAAGATTTCTACACACACCCTCCCTGTGTCTCTCTCGCCCTGAGGTGTATGAATGAGGAGTTTAGCTCTCTCTTCTTGAAAAAATTGCCAACAGTGAATGAGCACGAAGGGCATGTGTTTCTAGTAGGCATTCACTGAGGGGTTAGAGTGTGTCGTGATAAACCGCCTTAAGCCGAAGTGTTTCTGTTTTCATACTTCAAATTCAGTTATCCTTGGTATTAGGAAGATAATCTCCTATTCAGTTATATTGCTGCTTAGTTTTTTATAACAAGTTAATGTTATAGGCCTTGGATCATGATTTTCCCCACTGCATCTGAAGAATCTCAGGACATCTTTCTTACATCATCATGTAAAAAAGAAATTAATCACTACATCTACCCGTAATGCTTTGGAATTGAGTGTGGAATAGTATTCTGACTCAGGCAAACCATGAGATACAGCATTTTATGTGAAATGTGGGGCATGGAACTGAAATGCCTGTATGATTTGAGCAGCCTGACCTAGTGGAAGGTGTCCCTGCTCATGGCAGGAGGGTTGGAACTAGATGATCTTTAAGGTCCCTTCCAACTCAAACCCTTCTATGATGATTTGAAGCTGTGAAAACAGTTTGAAACTCTTCCTTAACTGTTGTTATATAGGAAAAGAGCATTAAGAATGCATTCTGACTTACATCTTGCTTCTTTTGATTAGGTGGATTCTCAGTGTATCATTGACCAGTCAGAAGAGCATTATGAAGGACAAAATGGTTTTTATCAGCTACATAAGCTTGTTGTGTTGAATATTTAAGTATTTCTAGAAGCCTTTCAAAGGAAGAGGTATTCCAACCAGTCTAAAAATTACTTTTGTCTTCTATATAACCCTTGGATGTTTGTTTTGCAAGACTGTTCTGTAAGATTAGTGTAAGTGTACTAAAATACTGTTTGGAATATGTTAATGTTTGTTTAAAAAGCTGAAGTTTGCTGACCTCTTAGAGCAGACGAGTTTATTCAAAAAACAAACTGACTTAAAGCAGGATGTAATTTTCATTTAATAATACTTCTGAGTAGGTTTATCACAAGGTACACAAAAGAGAAAGCAAATCTAGATTTGATTGTACATTTTCTGTCTGAAAGCTCATAAGCCATGGGGCATGATATTTTGTCTGTAACTGCAAGTTGCATTTTTCCATTTGCTTTCTCATTATTTTTTCAAAAAGCCATGCAACAAAGGTGTTTGGGGTTTTTCTTAACCAGAAACTAGAGGTCAGAGGAAACTGATGATCTAGATATGTTCAGATCCAAAGTATACTGGATACAATTTTTTCATTAATTTTTCATACAGCAAAATACAACATACGATTTCTTTTCCTGTATGGCACAAGAATGCTTTTGAATTACTAATTTATGGCACCTTTGTTTCATCCTTTTGTCTTATGTTTACCCATAAGATCTTTAGTCCTAAAAATGAGGTCAGTGGTTTTGGAATAAAACGTAGAAGTTAAATAAAATTTATTTGTCTTTTCTGTTGTGCAGTCATGCTTAATAAAAGCTAAATTTAGTTATTCATGGTACGTGATTGCATTCATGAAATACATGAATACAAAAACAGTATATGGAAAAGTACTAATCTTTTCACTGTTCACTCAGTGATTTGAAGATCATGTAATATCCAGGCATCCTCTGAAAAACAGACTCACTTAGTGGTAGCCATAAAAAATAAAGTGGTTTGGGGAAAATAAGGGGATGCTTAAATGAAGAAATTATTTTAAGCTGTACTGAAACATAGAGGCATTTCAAAAAGGTGTAATAGGCAATTTCAGTGCCTTATTATAAGCAGTACTTCCTTAGACCCCTTTTACTAGTCCTTCTGAATTATAAAACATCATACTTTATATAGTGAGAGAGGTTTAAGAGAAAAAGTGCATCTCGAGTGGCTTGGACAACAGTATTTCTCAGCTGAGTGTTGTATGCAAATGAAGTGTTGCAGTTAAATACCTTTGGGGGCAAATGAAACAGGCAAAATGTCAAAAGCTTTGCCTGTTAATGATGGGAATTTCTGTAGGAAAATGTAACTTGGTAATACCAAAAGGCATGATATAAATACTGTAACTTATCATGATTCCTCATAAGCAACACTGAAATTGAGAGTTAAATTGATTATAATATATTTTCCATATACTTTTTTCTTTTTTTCCAATTCTGTGGTTAATGTGTCCTGGTCTGTTCACGTGCCTGTGCTGCCATCTGGTGAGGGGTTACTGATGTGGTTTTTGTTCCCTTTTGAAGGTCTACTGCCTGTTGTAAAGCTGTCAGTGAAGATGTACTCTAAAGGCTCA